AGTGTAGATAGAGCCTGCTACACTAAGAAAGCATATTAGGAATATAGCCGGTATATTCACTTGCACAAAAGGAAAACAAAAATAAATTTAGAGTAATGTTGTTGTCAGAAATGTCATTACCAGCAGTCTAAGACCCATTCATATTCTCTTTCTCCCTTGATCTACACATATATGTAGAAAGAAAGGAAATATAAATGTCTCTCAGGATGCAGATTCCTTCTTTACCACAAAGTCCATCTTTGTGGATAGCTGGCTTGAATTCCAGCTGCTGATTTAACATATGTGTTTGATACAAAACTGAGCCATGAGAAACGATGGTGTGTATCTTTTCAGCTGCCTGGCAGGATGGGAAAGGGTTCAATTTTCTGTATGATGCTACACTCAGTGAACTATGTAGCTTCAGGAACTATGGATGTACAGGAACTATGAATGTTCAATCTAGTGGCATATCCTGACTACCCAGGTGGCTGTGTTGTCTTAACCATCTTAACCAGAATTAAGAATGACCCACTTTCAAGGTATATTTATCTGAAATATATATTATATATCATAATATACACATGATGTATAATATGTATCAGTCAGTGCCTTTGCCTTACTTTTCCTATCGTACTCTTACATCTAAATCCAATACTGAGAAGACAGCACTTCCTCCAGGAAGGTTTGTTTAAACGAGCTTTATTTCTAGAGGACTTCTTAAGAAAACACTAAAACCAGAGGGAAACAGTAAACTCAGATCCTAGAAACCATGGGGAGCATTCAAGCAGGTCATTAGTTTACTTTTCTATAAATGTTCAGGTCAGTTCCTATTTTGGTTACAATTCTATCGTGGAGTCCCAATGGCTGCAAAAACTACTAAGCCTCATTCCTGTGGCTTTCAGCATCACAAGAATTCTTTGAAAGGAATTATTGTCCATATGTCACAGTTGACTATTATTTACTCAAGATACAGTGCAGAATTTCTATCAAACCATCCATGTCACTTCAAAAATCAGGTACTGGATGTAAATTCTTAAAAACTCTTTACTCTTAGTATTTCTTGCCAAGTGATTAAGAAATTATTGGTAAAAATACCAAAGCTATTTTTTTATGTTTATCAGGGAAAAATGATAAAAATCCAGGAAGCCTACTAATTGCTATTTTTCTAAAATCATGTATTAGGGAAGAAACGGAAAAATGCATTTATATATTAAAGTTCAAAAATAATGAATAAATGGCACATATTTTATTTAAATGAAATATATATGTAAATTAAGTTACATAAATTAGGTTACCTGAAAAGAAATTTTAATAAAATGCATTTGAAATGTACAAAATATATTTTGAATAATAGGTCAATGAAAAGCATTATTAAAGGAATAAGATGGGTTACCAGAAAAATAGTAAGAAATCTATTTTCCTATTTGAATATATTGTTGTTGACAGCTAGAGGAAAAATACATTTTTAACCAAAATATATGAAAACTGTTACATTTTTATTTTATCAAATAAGTGCTAAGAAAGAGAAAACAAAATATGCTGGAATTGAACTGCTATAATTTAACAGAAGATAAAGGAATAACCAAAACACAAACACCTTATCATGTTACATTAATTAGTTGACTTTTAAAAAGATTAGTATGGCTAATATTACCATATCATTAAACCTTCAAAAATTTAAATATCTCGATGCACACATAATTACCTATCTCTACCATAATTTATGGAGTATGACTTATAAGACTTCAGAATGTTTATTACAAAGTGCTATGAAATGATCACGTGCAATTAATACCGTGTATCCGACTTAGCAAACTCTATATGTCTTAGTTCCTTTCAATTTAGTTCTATGAAAACCACAGCATTTTCAATAAGCCTGGAAAATAAAATAAAGTTGCCTTTCTTAGAGAGGAAACCTCTGAGGTCATAATTAGGGTTACCCTTATGGCACTATGCAGATCATGACTTTATTGCACCTGCTGAACTAACTGCATCTGTGTTAACACCAGAATCCCTTGGTGTTTAGTACTTATACCAAAGTGGGAGGGGAGGGAAGGAAGAAGAGGAGGGAAGGGCAGATGAGAGGAGAGCCATAAAAGATAAGGGAAATACAGTGAGGTGAATTTTGGAAACCACAAACACTAAAGATTATGTGCTATCTTAGTAAATGAGTAAGCTGATTCAATCACTATATCAAATACACTCAGTACTTGCCTATAGTGCTTATTATAAATGCTTATTATAAAATCCAGATAATTTGCCAGATAAGTACATATTATCTTCAATTTCAAAATTGAATTGAATTCAGAATAGTGCAACACTACAGTGATCATGATCTTTAAAGAGGATCAAATTAATCTCATGAATGATGTTTTTGCTAAGAAATTGCCTAAGCAACTCTATTACATGTACCAGGAACACTAATATAGTTAATATAAATTTTGTACAATGCATTATAGCCTATGCAATAATTTCATTGGTGATTGAGTCTTACAGGAATGCTGTGAGCTGGTTGTTATTACGTCCACACCCTTGATGCAACCAGAATAGGTAAAGTATTTATTAGTCCTTTACTGTTTCTGTGTGTTAACAGGCAAATTCAAATCCATATATGCCACATGACACCAAAAACTTCATCAGAAGCACAGACATTCTGATCTCAACTTCTAGCATAGTACTCAAAATGTTCTAAAATTATGGATGAAAAGGCTTTGAATGAATATTCTGAATCACTGTATTTTCTGATCAAGAAAATGGAAGTAGTGATATCCACCTCATAAAGTTGTCATTAAAATTACATTTACAAAATAGCATTTAAATCATCATAGTACTTGACACAGGAAAGATTCTCAATAATTATACGTATTCATGTCTTCACTTGTTAAACTTCAACAGAAATGGAAAAAGTCTGTTTTTAAAAGTCACAGGTGCATACTGGTAAAATCTCTACTTCTATCCATCCTTAGTTAATATCACATTGAGATCTTTCAAAATAATCTGTTAATGGTAAGCATGGCATTTTAAAGTTAATAATTTTTTGTGTATTCAGTTATGGGTTTTTTTGCCTTAGACTTACAAAGTATTTTCTTCTTTTAAATAATTTTCACAAAAACTCTTAAACTTGTTTCTCCCAATTGTAAAATATGTAATGTCTCATTTAATGGATAAAATAATAAAGCACTCCAGAAATCAGAATACTTGCATAAGTACAGTTAATGAGTCATTGGGGGTTTCAACATAACATTCCTGACTTCTCTGGACTCCTACACCATTGTTTTTTCCTCTTTACTCCTTTCCAATAGTCCTAACATAAGTATCAACTTGGGACAGTTTAATATTTGACAGAACACACTTTGTTTTTAATGTTCATTTATTTTTGAGAAAGAGACACAGACAGAGCATGAGTAGGGGAGGGGCAGAGAGACAGGGAGACAGAATGTGAAGCGGATTCCAGGCTCTGAGCTGTCAGCAAAGAGACCGACGTGGGGCTCAAATTCACAAATGATGAGATCATAACCTGAGCCAAAGTCAGGCATTTAACCTACTGAGCCACCCAGGCGTCCCTTGACAGAACGTTTTTGTGGTTCACTTTTACATAGCCAAAAAAATGTTTACTATGAAGGTGCAATGTAACTTATCATCACTATATTTAAAGTGAAATTTTCAAGGATGAAATTTGCCATGTTTGCTAATATGTAATTAGTCAAAGCCTGTGCTTTGTCCTCTTTTATCTATCTTCCTTCACCAGTAGCCAACACTGTTACCAGACTGAGATATTCTTTCCCCATGAATTCAGACTCCACCTCTACATCATTCTAAACATATGCGTCATCTTGTGGGCAGCTGCTACCAATCAATCAGGTTGTCTCCTGAAAATATCTACATATCTATCCATCTACAAATATATATATACATATACATACACACACACACACACACACACACACACACACACACACACACGCAGGTTAATGTGTGTCTTTAAGCGCCTAAGATAAATTTCTTTTAAATGCCAATATGTATACAAAATATATAGGATTTTTCTTTTTTAGACATCCAAAAATAAGACACAAAATAAAATACATTATATCTGTTTTTTTTTTAATTCAAAAAAAATTAATGGTTTATTTTTTAGAGAGAGACAGAGTGTGAGCAGGGGAGGGGCAAAGAGAGAGGGAGACACAGAATCTGAGCTGTCAGCACACAGCCTGACACGGGGCTCGAACTCACAAACAGTGAGATCATGACCTGAGCCGAAGTAGCACACTAAACCAACAGAGCCACCCAGGCACCCCTAAATTGATTTAAATGACTATAACTGCCTTTTATGATCTGTGCAACTACTTGGCTATACCTCAAAACAGTGACCCACTTGATTTTACTAACAAAGTTTGCCTCAGAAAAAAATGAATGTACCTTTTGATAAAGGTAAAACCATTGTTGGATTGCTTACCATTCCTCTTTTGTTCAATCCCTATTACCTAGTCAAGACAATGCCTATTACCTAGTCATTACTCAATCCATATTTAAGAAATCAGAGGAAGGATGGATGGATGGATGGATGATGGATAGAAGGAAGGAAAGAAGGAAGGAAGAAAGGAAGGAAGGAAGATGAAAGGAAAGGAAAACAGAAAAAGAATGGAAGGCAAAGAAGGAAGAAGGGATAATTTAATCATGACTCAGAGGCAGAAAAATTTCATATCACCCAAAAGGAATTCAAGAAGAATTAACATATGAAAACAAATTTGTACAAAGAAGTTGACTTGCTGAATGTAAGTATATATGCTACAAAATTGCATTTTGTTAATTATCTTTTGTATACATGTAAATCTTTAGGCATGTTTTACCTTCACCCACTTCTTTATATAAAAATACCACTATCCAAAATTAAATACTTTTTTGTTTCTAAAAAGTGATTAGGTTCACAAGTATAGTGTTTACTTAATACAACACTAAACAAAAATGATAACAGAATAATAAATTATGTAATTACTAAGATAATTTAGTTGATTGATACTTACCAGGATATCTTTCCCAGCCCATTTGCATTCATCCCTTCTGGTAAAAGATACTGGCCATACAATCTAAGGGCAGAGAAAAAACATAATTTTATGCCAATTAAGTTCTCTAAGTGATCCAACATTATAGCCTGTTAGACTAAGGTGGGGCAACTTAAAGAAAGTTCCACAAAGCATTATGTGGTAGGAAGGTTTCAGCTTAAACTCTGCAGTAGCATCTATTAATTGGTATGAATGTAATTGGTATCATTCAATCTCTGCCTACCCATTAGACTTTGCTGTTTATGAAAGTTGAGCAACACAGAATTTATGTAGTCAGTAGATTTAAGCAGCGTGCAGAGAAGAGAACTGTCAGGTTGGGAGAGGAAGATCATTTTGAGAAGATGTGAAAATCTCGTGAAGGGAGATAGAAATAAACACAAAAAAAGTGTCTAACATTTTTCTAAAAGAATCTGTCTTTATTATAAAATAGTCATTTTGAATTTAAACATGAGGTGCTCTGGGTCCTTTTCCCTAATTCAAATTTCAGCATGACACTCTAGAATGAGCAATTGATAGGGTTAAGAAAACCTCATTTTAGAAAGGAATTTTTTTTTTTTTTTTTTGGTGGGGGGAAGCACAGTAAGTAGGTAAGAGTAGCATTATATACTTTCTGGAGATAAAGAAGGAAATGAATTTCCAAATAGATAGCCCTAAAAACTTTGCCACTGTGGGAAAAACTTAAACTAATTGAAAAACAATTGTTTTCATCCCTAATATTTCCCCTTCATTCTTTGACAACATTTATGCTAAATTCCAAAGGTTTCTATACTGTATAATTACAATGACAGTGCTAAGCAGGCCAAGATATTATTGGTGGTTTAGGGGATGGTGGATGTATTTTTCTTTATAATATTAATACAAACATCCTCATCTAAATTTTAATATAAAATTGTTCAGTTCCTCAGGGCAATTCGAATGAGTCCTATCTGTATTGGGGCAGAACAATTGAATTTTTTTCTTTAATTCATCTTTCTCATCTGGTAACAGTTAATTGCAGGAAAAAAAAAAATGTCATATGTAAAAAAAAAAAAAAAAACTCCAGACATGGTGCAGTCACTCATTCATGTCTGTGTTAGTCTCAAAATGACTGATCATCTTTTTTGGGATCCTTAAGATAATTCAGTTAAATGGTCATAAACAAGCCTCAAGATAATTCAGTATAAATGGTTATAAACAAGCCTCAAGATAATTCAGTATAAACGGTCATAAACAAGCCCCTAGATAATTCAGTATAAATGGTCATAAACTTGTGCAAGGGCTATGATATTCAATCTAGGGAATCAAAAAACAAAATATAACACATTCATAAGCAAGAATTTAGGACATATCGAAATAACCTATGATGGCATAACAAATGCATTTCAGCTCTGTGTCACAATTATAAAAGCCCTAAAAATTTTTGGTTATACATTCATTTTTACCATCTGAAGCTTTTAATTTATGTATTCTTTTTCATGTGCTTTTCTTTTCATGTTTATCTGTATATGTAAATTAGAACTGTCATTTGATTTGTTCCACAAGGATCTTACAAAGTAATCTCATAATAAAAAAAAAATCTAAGCACAAAAAATGCACGTCCTTAAAATTCACATTACCCTGACTTCTGAATTACTAGAGCGGGTACTGGGTAGTCTGTTCCATACATTCCACAGCTCTGTCTTCACTGTGGCTATGGAAAGCCCAAGCGATCTATTCTTATTTAAAGTTTATACCGGTAGATAAAATATAAATTTCATTTAAAACACGACAATAATATAGAGTATAGGGCTAAGATTTACTGACTTTCACATTAAGCTTGCCAGTTACATTTCCCAAAACTCACAGATTATTAAAACATGATTTTTAACTGAAAAAGGCAAGTCATTTTCTCATACTTTCCTAGCTCTTGACTGCTGGTGGTGAGATAGCATGGGTCTCATTTTGTCATTTTTTCTCTTATGTCAAATGTTGATAAAAAATAATGTTGATAACATTTATGCTCAATTCTCTCATACTTACAGGAGTGTGTACTCTCAACTTTCTAGAGTTCCCAGAGTTAAATAAATAAGTATAGCTTAAAAATCTGGCATGAATAAAATAAATTTTGGTATATAATATGCTATTCTGGAAAGCAACTTATGGGCATAACTATAAGTCAGTGAAATAAATATATATATTTACTTTATATAAAAAATATAAACATATTTAATTGTCATTTCCAACAGTATCCTCTTCCATAAAGAAAAATTCCTGACTATTTGGTTATATTTGTTTACCTGTAGATATTTTTGTCTTCTTTGTTCAAAAAGTCTCAATTAACAATGCCTAAATTTCTTATGCTCATATTCAAAGTGTTTCATGATGTGTATTACACTTTCCTTTCTTCATGCGTCTATAGTTCTATTCATGACAGCCCCTCTCACTCATAATTTTATAAATAAGCATTTGTGCCTTAAAGAAACAGCATGCTTTTATGAAGGTCTAGAATCTTTTCATAGTTCTTCCAAATCTGAGAATGTGTTATCTCTAATAAGGATTGGCCTAATATATACCTTTATGCTCATAATCTTATCATTAATATTATGTTGTAAGTCCCTCAAGAATTATTTATGATATCCTATAGTGATCTTTATAAAGTTTATTACAAGAGTAGATGCTTCAGAAAATGCTAAATAACATCATACAGAGATTATAAAGAACAATAGACAAATGCATGTGAATTCTTAAGTAAACTAGATTTACTCCTATGGACAGTGTGGTATAATTAAATAATATGTTTGGAATGAATGTTTTAGACTTAGAAATATGTCTCCCATTAGAATAATGATTTTAAATGCAAGAGCAGGAGCTATAACAACACTATGAAACTGGGCAAGTCACCTAACTTGAATTAATTCATTACTTCAGTATCTATTTATTGTAAGTCTAGTTGGTAGAAGATACTGTGATTATATCAAGGGCATACAAATGGCTCTGGGATTTTCCTCATCTATAAAACAGCAGGTTGTCTCATACAATAATTAAGCCTTTTCAATTTTAGAACAAACTGAGTATATAAACTAAGAATCTTTATTATTTCATTATTCAGAGAAAAATGCCAAATACATTAAATACATATTCTGAGGTATGATGTTACTCATATATTGTTTATGGATAAAAATATATGTATATATATTTATGTTATATATAGGAGTTTTACAAAATGATAAAACTATTATGAACACTGAAAACTTGAACTTATATAATTTCCTACTATTAAAATACCAAATATTTCTTAAACTTAGATTTTTCACTCATTATATAAAAAGGATGACTTATTTTCACTAAACAAAACAAAGCTGCTTATTTTATTACCTTTAGAAAAGACTCCAAGGTAAATATTTTGTTATTTCAGAAAAACAAACAGATAACTAGTTTTTTTAGGCAACAGATAACCTTAGGAATACTGCAATCATCTGAGAAGTCTTAGAAATCAAATAGATTGAAAAAATCAGAAAAAGAAATATCAAAGGTGACATTTAAATCCCGTATATTAATCTCTAAGTATATCGCTGCTGTTTTGTATGATATACATAATGAGTCAAATCTTTATGTACAGTCAGAATTTCAGAGTTTGGGTAGTAGGAAAGTAAAAGTCTTAGGTCCAGTGGTATACTCTATTAGAGATATGAATTAGCTTTGAATTTAATCTTCATTTGATCTTCAAAGCAATATTCTCCAACCAGGACAAAAGCTTTTAATACAATTCATTACTTTTCAAAACTTATTGTCCAATATGTTAAAGTTTATCAGTTTAGGAAACACCACTCTCTAAAGTCCTATAAGAAGCAAAATTAACATACATAAAAACTGATGTATATGTACTCTAAAAAAATATGTTATACTAGTACTCCTACAAAAGCCGCTACATAAAAGATTTTTGTTCCTCAGAGAATTATGACTGGAAATACTGACTATGAAAAAATAATTGACTTTGAGTGCAGCATATGGACTCAGTAGCATAATTTGCACTAATTTTTCAATCCATGTTTATTTTCCAAACTGTATAGCTTATTAATTAAAGAAGCCAAAAACATGGTAAAGAGTAAGGATAAAACTGATAGACTGCAAGTGTCTAAATGACCACATTTGTAAAGATCTGACACTGAAAACTGATCTTCTAGATGACGGTTTGGCAAACTTTTTGTTTGAAAGGCCAGATAGTAAATATTTTAGGCTCTGTGAGCCAGATGACCTCTATCACAACTATTCAATTCTGCCATTGTTGAATGAAAGCAAACATAGACAATATGTAAATGTATGAGTGTCTGTGTTCCAATAACCATTATTTACAAAAACAGGTGACACACCAGATTAGGCATGTGTAAAATGATTGATGAACTCTGCATTTGCTGACAATATAGCGATATATACATACACATACATATACACACACACGGTAAATGATATCAATTATGATATATAAATATAATGGTTCAGATGTTTAGTTTTACACAGGAAAAATGATACAACTATGGAAGGATAAGCTTAAGTCAGTATTTCTTAAAATGATCATTTAACATACTATGGTTTTGTCCTTGATGATTTTTATGGTTTACTGCATCCATTGATTTGTGATAATCAAATCAATGCATTATTTTTATTTGCATCTGAAAAAATAAAATTATTAATTTAAACAGTTTTTTTTTTCAGTTGTAACACTATCAAATAGCTAGAGAATTCACTGTTAAATAGCTTGAGATGTTTTAAAGAAACTACAGTGTATACATTAGAATAAAGATACCTTTTGAAAATCCTTGATATTAACCAGGTTGAATGAAAATATGTGATCCTTCGCTCCAACATACAGCCTACTCCGTTCCTCATCCAAAAGGAAGGTATGATAACTGGAGCTGTTGGCGAAGCCATTGAAAGTGATCACATTGTTGGATTCCAACATTTCTGCAAGGTAACAAAGCAAGACATTGGGTGTTAATGTGAGGTCCTACATGAGCATGGACTATTGGTACATGGCAATCTACGGCCTGCTGTAGCTACAAATCAGTGGTTGTTCTTAATGGTACTAAGAAATATACAGGAGCCATTTTTGTTTGTTTGTTTGTTTACATTTCATGGAAATGGAAGTCATATTCATTAGTTTGCTGATTTCATACTCAATACCATATACTTCTTCAGAAGAAAGGAACAGAAATACCTCCTCTGCACAACTGATCCAATGAAATCTCTGTGCATGTAATGATAAAATGAAATGCTCAGTATTGTATATAAAATGTCTTTAATTTTACAAAGGTTTTTTTAAATGGTTTCATTTGTTCCAAATCATTATCTAAAAGGAAAAGAGAAGCAGGCCAACAGAGCAGAGGCAGTATGAGGGAAACACTGTTGAACCTCCTAGGTTGTTTGAGGCTTCTTTTTACTAAGGAATTTTTACATGTCTTTTTGACCATTAAATAATTAACTCCACCATCTAAATATTTTGTAATATTTTGTGACTGACATATATACAGAAGCCAAGTTACATTTTCATAAAAACATAAGTTATATGAATTTTACTATCTGACTTCAATTTTTCAGTTTATTATCATTCTTCTATTTGCTTTTGCTAAGGGGCAAATCCTGACTTTTAGACCTATACCTAAGTGAAGAAATATTTTCAAATAAAAACATTAATTGTAAGTCCACCTTTGCATTGCAAAGGCAATTGTTGATAATCAACAAAGAGGTTTTTTTTTTTTTTTTTTTTTACATATCAGCCTCAGTCAAAATTATGTACATATACCACCACAACCCCCTCCCAGGGGATGGAAACGTTGAAGATTCTCCAAAATTGTGTACTGAATCGATGATTCAGATTTGTCCAGGGCACACATAGTTGAACCCTTTCATCAACACCCACAAAATGCAGAATGTGTTTTCCAAGGAGAGAAAGCAGCAATATAGACCCTTCCTCTATCCCAGTCCTGTCCCCCATACATTAGCTTTACGGTAAGTTTCCTTGCTGTATCTATTTCTCCTACCGCCTTCTCCGTATAACCAAAAATATTATTTCAGTGGGGGATAAAGTTCAAACTCCTTAATTTAGCATTAAAGACCATCTGAGTTTACACCCCAACCCAGTACTCCTCCCTCATGTCCTTTATCCTGCAGGAAAATGTATCTGCAGTTGTCCACTTTTTAGCCTTTGCTGCCGTTGTTCTTGACATCTACAACTATATACCACCTTGACAAGGGTATCCATTCTTTTTTTTTTTTTTTAATGTTTATCTATTTTTGATAGAGCACAAGCAGGGGAGGGGCAGAGAGAGAGGGAGACATAGCGATGCAGACACCACTCTCTGAGCCGTCAGCGCAGAGGCCAACATGGGGTTTGAACCCACAAGCTGTGAGATCATGACTTGAGCCGAAAGCAGACACTTAACCAACTGAGTCACCCAGGCACCACAAAGAGCATCCATCCGTAAGAGCTAGTTCAAGTGCAAGCCCCAAGAATTTCTTATAATTTCTTTGTAAATTACTCCTATAACTTGTATCACACTGTCAATCATTCATGTAAATGACTTATCTACCAGAATTAACATCCCCTCAAGTCAGGAAATCTATAATTAATAGCTCACTACCCACAACTCACATGGTTTCTTTTCCACATTACCAGGTCATTAAATATTAAATCGAATGTATATTTTTTCTATGGATTTATCTATCCATCCATCTACTACACAAAATTATAAGAATTGTTAAAATTATTAAAATGTGATTTTCTAATTAATTCATGAAAAAACAGTATAATACTGGGCTAGCCTTTTCCCACCCTCCACACCCATTAAAAAAAAAATAAAGGAAGAAAGGAAAGAAAAGGAAGGCAGGAAGGGAGGAAGGAAGGAGGGAGGGAAGGAAGGAATCAATTTGAGAATTTCGTTCACATGAGTGACATCTGAAATAAATGAGAGCTATTAGTTTCCAGAGAGAAAAAAACCATAATTCACTACATGGTATCTGAATTTAAATGTCATCCTGTCACCACTTTCCGAATTATTGCAAATACTCAATGCTACAGAGAATGAATATAAGACTGAAATTTCCAGCATCCTGAGCTGTGTGAGGACGGCTACTGTAAAAGGCAAGGGTACGTTACTGGACATGTTCAATGACTGACTTAATGGTTGTTCAAAGAGATAATAATTATCAAATAGAGAACGTGCCCTTCAGTATTCCTTCCAATTATAAAATCTATAATAATCCCCCCCCCCAATACAAGAGAAACAAAACTACAGGGAGCTAGACAAACTGAAAAGTCAGGTAAGTCTAAGCCAAGACAATTACATAAATATTAACCAATAGGAGGGTCCTTCAAGAGACACAAAGGTGAATTTTAATTGGAAACACACAGAACTATATAAGGGAGGTCTAAGCATCAAGTGGAAAAGTTATGGGAAGACAACTACTATACCTAGAGAACGCAGAGTCATCCAGTTACAGGTAAGAACACAAAGTATCATCATAGTACTTACTAGCTGTGCAAACTAGGATGAATTCCTTATGCTACCTGGACCTCAGATTTTGGAAGATGGGGTTAATAATATATCTTCTAAGAGCTATTGTGAAGGTGAAATTAGGTAATTCATGTTAAATACTTAGAACAATAATTTGCATAATAAAGCACACAATCACCTATGTGTATAAGTAGAGGTGAAATAGTAGTATGTTCAATCTTTTTGACCAGAAGTAGGAAATTAAGATCCAGATGTAGCAGACTGAAAAAAAATATTCTTCGACCTATCTTACCAAATATGCTAACTCATTAGCATTATCATTTTGTAAAGGGATAAAGAAAACCAATATACTTTCGATTTACATTAGTATGAAATATAAAGGTCCTTTTAAAAACAGTGAAATATTTTTTTGGTCTGCCAATTTCTATAACCTAAATTTTAAATAATAAATGTAGTGCCTATCTATATTATAATTCCAAACAATGAAAATATTCACCTAATTAAAAAATACATTACAGGTTGAATTTTGTAAATTCGTTCAGGGAGAATCAATGGTTACTCAGTACAGACAACTTAGAGAAAAGTCTTTAGTGGTTTATGTATGACATCACTACGGAAACAAACTACGCTTTAAAAATGTGTTAGTGCTAGATCATTTCATTAAACAAAGAGACAATATTTTCCTGGAATATGGGTTAGCAGCTGTGTTTTCCATCACTTTCAAATATACTTGATTTTGCCTAATCATTCCTTTTTGCTCCAATTTCTTTAGATGTTCGTCTCTATCAAGGACTTTTTATATTTCATTACAACCAAGAAAAGAGTCTTTTTGAGACTCTCATGACACTGAGTCACAGCAAATTCTAGATTGCTTAGATTATCTCAACACTTTCCAGGGAAAAAAATACCTAGGTTAAAATCAGAGACGTTTTCTCTACATCTAGATAGATCTCATATTCTTTAATATTCTGTTTTCCTTTTTTAAATTTGTTATTTTTTCTTATATGTAGATACATTCAGCTATACCTGATATTAAATAACTTCAACTTTGACTCTACTCCTTCAGAATTTTAGGACTTTCTTTTCAGCTTCTATTTTATAATTCTTAGTGTGACATAAATTAGAATTGGAACTAAAATAAGTATTCAGAAATGTGAAATGTTTAATATTCCACTACCTTTTCATATCTTGCCTATGTTCACATCCAGGAAAATAGCAACAAACATTAGATAACAATCTAAATTTCTACAGAATCAATTTGACTATAATGAATCTGATAGACCAAAGCATGTAAAGACACTAATTCTTTCTGGTGTAATTCAGCTTTTTCCTGGTTGAGACATTGCTTCAACCTCTACACGTTGTGGCAACCATAAAGAGAAGTCAATGTACAATTGTAATCAAAAGTGCCATTTCAAACAAGCACTCTTTAATGAACTTTTTATTCTGAAATACAAAAGGTGATTAAATAAGCATTCTATTTATTTCAGCTTCCAAAAATGACTTAGCGTCTACAATTTGTTTAATGACAAAATGGAAGCTATACCAATCAAAGAGTAAATAGTTTTTGCTCAATAGTGCTAACTATTATCACCATTATAAGATAATGGAGACAGTAAGCATTAAGTGTATATAGATGCTCTGGATGGGAATCATTTCATATGATTTCAAGCAGCAGAGTGTTCAATTACAAATAGATTACATTCTCTTGTGATATAATTCCATAAAACAGTCTTATGAAATTCAGGACACATATATATAAAGTCCATATATCTATTTTTAATGTAATAACATGAGCAAAAGAAGAAATGAAACTATAATTGATGTATTTTAATTAGAGGAGCCCACCAACTAATTATGGGAGAAGAACCATGATCTTTTCTAATGCATCTTTATTTCTTTGAAAGTTTATTTATTTTTGAGAGAGAGCACACAAGTGACTGGGGAGGGGCAGAGAGAGGGAGGCAGGTAATCCTAGGCAGGTTTGGGGCTGTCAGTGCAGAGCCCAACACAGGGCTCCATCTCACAAACTGTGAGATCATGACCTGAAACCAAGAGTCAGTCAGTCAACTTACTGAGCCACACACAGGCAGCCCTCATGTCAATTCTAATTTTCATTCTACTTATTTATTTATAAATTTTGAGATCTGCCTTTTTTCCTGAATTCATCATAATCTATGTAGCTTTATTTGAATAAAGAAAAAAAGACATTGTTAGTAATTATTATCAGTAGATTAAGATACTGAAAAATTATTTTACGAGCTGATGTTCTTCTCATGTTTATTTTAATGTATGAAACGAAAAAAAATGATGGGAAAATTTATATCAAAATCATACATGACTACTGACCTCTATATAATAAAGCTGGATAGTTCCTGTGGTGTTCTGATTATCGTTAGGACAAAAATAGATTTCTACAGATTATTGTATTGCAATAACCAGGTCAGAT